TTTCCGCCTAGGCTCCATAAGTCAGATGATGTAGAGTTGTAAGAACCTGATTTTATGAGTCGGCTGTAACAGAGAATGCTAGTTTCTATTTTGGATAGGATGTTTTTTAAAGGCTTAAAGATGTGTCCAAGAATTTAAAAGTCAAAAACGGAACCTTGTCAAGCTTCACTCAAAACAGTCATAAATATGTTAAACATTATATACGTATACTCCAACAAAACCCATACCACCTTGGTCTTCTGCCGTGACTGTAGCCTGCTGTCCGATTGAGTTTGCTGGAATAGCAACAGGATATAATGAGGTTTCAGGCTCTCACACTCAAGTTAAAAAGAAAAGTGCCGGAGAGATGGTTGGGGGGTTATCAGCGGGTGTTACACTGAGACAGAAGGTGAACGAAAGAGAAAGGATTCTCAATGATAATGTATGAGCTGTCTGCTGTGCTCCATGGTGAGGGCTGGGGGATGGAGAGCGCAACGGTGCATTTAAAAAGAAGATTATCATATCAGAATACAGTAATATGTCGCCAAACACTGATTGTTATTGGTTGTGGCTCTTCTACTCCACCAACTTTGATGTTAACACTCAGAACAAGAATTAGGCTCTTCTTTATGTCTTTTAGAGAGCTATAAACACCTTTTAGAGAGATCCTCAGTGACTCTTAAAAAGACTACAACTGATATTTTTATGGTTAGAACTACTACAGAAGAAATGTAATCACCATTTCTTCACACTGCTAATTACACTTTTATACATCCGTGCAATTTCACAACTTTAGTGCATTGAGCAACAAATAGCAACGAAGCCTCCAAGAGTGCTGCAGTTTGCCCAGGAACATTTAAGCAACTAGAAGTTGAGAAGATTTGCAATTTGATTTAAACCTTCAACCCCTCTCCTCCTTCCAAAACAGTGAAAAGACTAAATGGTAGTAGCTCTTATTGGAGAAACAACACAGAAAGCAGCAGGTCATCCTTGGTTTTATGGAGCGCTGTAGTTAGTCTCTGCTCATTATTCAGTTGTACATGCCCAGAACTTTTCTGTTTTGGCCCATTCTCTCTGCTCTAATAGCATCATTTTACACCTCAGCAGGCAGCTCTGTTACTTACACAAAAAGGAAGAGGCTAAAATGGCCTACCTTAGGAGTAGAAAAAAAATCTGAATGAGCAACAAAAAGGCACAAATATAGAGTCCGTCTTAGAAGCCAAATAGCCTCTTTAGTCCCTCAAAAATAGAAAAAGGACCAGAAACTTTTATACTTTACAGTAACCCTGATTGATTTGCTTCCGATGATCTCACTTGGGTGCTTAATGGGTTAAATGAGAAACAATTTCCTATAGTAAAAAAAACTTGTATATAAATTCTGGTTAATGGATATAATTCAGGCATCCCCAAATTCGGTCCTCAAGGCCCCCTGTCCTGCAGGTTTTAGAGGTTTCTCTGCTTCAGCACATCTGGTTATAATGATTGCAGTAGACCAAAAGCCTGTTAATCAGCTTTCAATTAAAATCAGCTGTGCTGGAGCAAGGAAACCTCTAAAACCTGCAGGACAGGGGGCCTTGAGTACCGAGTTTGGGAATGCCTGAAATTTCTACATTAATTTCGGTTTTGCTGATTCTTTTAACTTCCTTACAAAAGTGCTTGTCAGGGTTTGGTTGTGGTTTGGAGGACCCAAATGCAGAGGCAGAGGCTGAGGAGATTTCTTGCAGCTTTAATGAAAATAAACAGGGGTAACAGAGGCGGGAATCCAAAAATCCAAAATCAAACATGAAAAATCTAAAGCAAACCAGAACTAGGGAGACATCTGGGGAAACCAAACACGAGGAGCCAGGGAGAGACGAAGAACGTGGACAACAGCACGGGAGTACAGCAAAGACAAGGAACCAACAAAGAGTGAGAGCAGAGGGAGAGCATATATAGCACAGACAGACAAAGGGAGGGCTAACGAGCAGACAAGGAGCAGGTGTGAGAGGAGACAATGAGGGAGCCAAGGGGAAAGGAACACACACACACAAGAGGGCAATAGAGGACAACAGAAAAACATGAGAACTAATATAAATCTAGAAATTACAACAAAACTGGAATTAAACCAATAAATGTAGAAAACAAGGAGCAAAGTAACCCCTTGCTCACACTGGCTCCGGTGCGGTTACCGAGCCGACGGAGACCGCAACTCCCGCACACCCCCTCTCACACCGCCCTTTTGACTACGGTGCGGTGCGGCTCTGCGGCTCCGGCAACAGGTCCGGAGATTTAACTCGCGAGAACAGAAGTTCATTTGAGTTCACTTAACTTCACGCGATAACACGGCCCAAATAAGGATATTTGCGAGAGCTTGTTGCGGAGGGCTCCGGCACGCCGCAAGGATAGCTTTCTTGCGGAATTTTCTGCAGCGCCGGAGTGTCTCGGTAACCGCAGCTGGACAGCTCAGCAGCCGGTGAGAGAGGTTTACGTCTTTTTATTGACTTGGAATCACTGCGGCGCCGCACCCACCGCACCGCAACGGTAAGACCGGAGTCGGTGTGAGCCGGGGGTAAAGAACAGCAGAACCAAGACCATGACAGTGCTAGATATAAATGATCAGAATCAGGATGTTGCTAAAGTAAACAAAAAAAAAATCTTTCATCTAAGGCTGTTAAGCAAGCTCTCAGGTTTATATAAAAAAAAATTCAAAAGTAGGATTAAGAGGAAAATTTTACTCAATGTTGATCCTCTTGTGTTATAGAAATGATCAATTATGCAGCTGGCTCCTCAAAGATTTGTATTGCGTTACCTCTTATGGGAGAATACTTCATACTGAATAATTCTCGTGGTGTTGTAGCTGTGAAAATATAGAGGAGTCTGGGCAAAAAAAACTGGTAAAGTAAGATGTTAAAGATTTGAATAAGTAATGCAATAAGGTTTGGTCTGTGCAGCTGGCTTCTTGGTGGCAAAAGAACAGATTAATAAAAAGAATTCAGCATTATGATGTAATTTATTTTGGAAATTTTATTATGGTCTTTTTAATGTTTACAGTAAACCAAAAAGTAAAAAAAAAAAAAAATTGTCTCACAGAGGCATTTTGAATATTTTTCTGTGATGACTGCTACGCATCTGCCAGTGTGTTTATTCAAAATTATAACATGATATAAAATCCAAAATTATTTCTGACACAATATATATATTCTATATGTTCATATGTTGCAAATAAAGGTGTGTTTTAAGCAAATAATTATTAGTGTTTTTATTAAACAGGATTTGACCAGAAATATGTATAGGCTTGGTGTCCATAAACTACACCCTTCAGGAATTTTATTCTGATTTCTATGTAATAAACTCACAAATTAAAAAGTGTGGTGCGAATATTAAAAGGCAAAACAAAATACATTACATCAATAAAACCTATGTTTCTCTTACATCAATTTACCTCAGCTTCTTTCTTTTTTTTTAATGAATGCAGGCAAAAATGTATTAGTTCTAAGAATGACTCAAAATTAGAATTAAAGTTTAGAAATGTTAATCTATTAAAAAGAATAAAAAGATTTACCAGCCAGCTGGGCTCTCCTGTCTGTGGCATGTCACACGCAGCAGAGAGAAAGAGATTATTTTACATTGAGGCCTTGTATGAGCTCTGCTCTTGTATTACATCACCATACAGCTCCAACCACCCATGTATTAGTAGAGAGTATGCATAAGGGTATAATTGGTCCATCTGTGTTTCCAAAAAACATAAGTTTAAAATTACCTAACCTGTCCTGGCCAGAGGATTGCTTTGTGTGATAAAATACCTTTATAAATGTTCTATGAAGTCCTCCGAGACTTGGTAGAGGACATTAGTAAAGAAAAAACACTATTTAAAGACCAGGGAACACAACAGACAAGATGTTTAAAGAACAGCTAGGTTATTAAATCTAATTACAGCTTTGAACACGCTGCTGTTTTTTTCTTTACCTGGAATAGGGTAGAGTTTGGCTCAGAGACCCACTGAGACTTGGTTGCTTAAATGGACGCGTGAGCATTAAAGAGGGGCTTTGGTAGGAGAGTCTGTTGACTGGACCGCTATGATGACTTTGACTCAGCAGGTTTAGAAGTGTCAACAGGTAATCCATTGTTAAAAAGAAAACATCAAGAATTAGCTGCAAATTTAAAGATGGCATACCTATTTAAGAATACATTCTGATTATATTAAACCATATTTAACGTTTTGGCCTCCATACATCTCTTTATTTAAACAGATTACCAAACCACTCTAAAACTACATCTGGCAAACTGCTCATATACTGTCTGATATCCAGCTGCATTTCACTGCTGAGAAGTGAGTTACTAAAGGGTTAACAGTTTAATAATGTAATTGTTTTTGAGTTAAGTGTGGTGTGAAAAGAAGTAATGATCTTTTCTTTTTTTTTTTTCCATAGTGGACTAAGATTAAGGTTTGGCTTGCAGCCAGTCTTGCCCTGGGTTGGCTGTTAAAAGAAGCCAATTAAACCTACATAAAAGCCTCTCCTCAGGAGAAATAGAGATTAAACAGTGTGGTGCAGCTTCATGTTCAGTACAACCAACATGAGCAGAGACAGTGTGTATGCAAAGGGTAGGGGAAACCTGTAAAAATGTTCAAATTGTTGGCTTTTAATGTATATTTTGAATAAAATTTAATTTGCTTCTGTCCAACAAAATAACACTTAAAAATGTATTTATGGAGTTCTAATGTTTGATTAAAATGTCAAAATATTTGTTTGTTTTAAAGGGCAGTGTAAGGTAGAAGCTATTAAAATACATGATGCATAATGCATAGAAATAAGGGTACATTCTGCAGCAGCTTCCTATTTGCAAGGCTGGAATTTCTAATATCGAGCTCCTGTTGCAGAGAGTGAACCAGCTGCACATGCATCCAGACCGCTTGCATGTTTAATTTTTTTTTTTTTTTTTTTTTTTTTTTTTATGGAACAGCCCGGTGCACCACTGTCCACCCCTACCACATGATGACATATGGTACAACCCACTGGAGCTTCTCTATCTGGTTTGTCACTGACTCAGTAGTACCACAGCAGGCAGCATCTCAATCACACACACATGAACACACTCAAGAAGACAAAAGCATACACACATCAAAAGTGAGAACATCAGAAGAGTTTCGAGAGAAGAGAAGAAAACCTTTGGCTTGTTCCTCTGCTCTCCGTTTTTTTATTGCTTTGCATCCCTGATATGACCCTGTTCAGTCCAAGATGTGAGTATACTAAGGAAACCCTTTTATCTGTGTGGATGTCTTAGTGACTGTTTGAATGCTGTGGTGTACTTTCAAAAGCAATATTTTCCTAATCTCCCCCCTGCACGATAAGCTGTTCAGTCAGCAGTTTTTCTATTTCTGTATTTCTGTTGTAAATATTTCTAATATTATCAGAATTTGTTTTTATATCTCATTACTTTGTATGGGTACAGACACATTTGGTTTTGGAAAATTCTGCAGATTTTAAAGCTCTGCTTTAATACATTTGCATTAGGGTGTAAAAAATGCTTTAGGTCCCTATACACCAAAGATAAGAAATAGTTCAACTCCTACTACTTCTAACACTGCCAAGGTCAGAACCTGACCCAGACTGTGAAGGCTTCAGAGACCGAAACCTCTGTTGACTTCCTTTAGTCTTGCTCCCACTCTCTGGTGGATGATCAAACCTACATGTTCTTTTGTTCTTCAGCTTTAAAGTGAATGTCACCTTTAAAGCCGATCCTTAATAAGATTACTTTCCGAGGCTCGCAGGAGCAGAAGCTTGACACTGACTGAGTACTTAGAAGTGAATGCAGACACAACACGCTTCTCTCTCTCTTTTTTTTAGATGGTTGAGGCAAGTTTGTTGCTTTCTGACAGATTTTACAGCAAAACCATGACTTATTTTTGGCTGAGGCTGTATTATTTTGTGAGGGACGCTTCAGTGGTATTGCTCAAAATTTAACACCTCTGAATATTCTGAATCTGCCAGGTTCTTCCTGAACATAACACATAAAACTTTATCTGCTCTCTCTCTCTCTTTCTTAGACATTTCCAGCTACAGTCACACTACAAAGTCATCAGCATTGGAACTAATTTTATGACAGTGAAAGGATATGTAGAGTAGATCAAGTCACCAAAAAACAGAGGTGCTATTAAACCACATTTAAATGTATACTACCAGAAGGCAGAATAACAGATCTCCTTTGCGGGAAATTAAGACTTTGTGCGAATTGTTTTTTTATTTCTAGAAAGTGAAGAAAAGTACACTGTGTTTTTGCAAGAAAGAAAAGTGACACATTATATTAAACTAACTAAATTAATATTTTCAGTACAAAATACATGCTAAAAATAAGGGTGCTCTTCATAATCAAATCAATGAAAAGGTCAAAAAATGATTTAGGCCACTGTTTGTGCTGAGCATTAATTAGAATATGATTAAAAAGAGACAATAAAAAGATTAAAAAGCACATAGCAAGAAAAGAAACAAATAAAGGATTAACTTGAAGAGATGCATTGTGGTTCTGATGGTTAATGCTGTCAGCACAGGCCTGGAAGGTAAGCTTTTTACTTTCCAGTAGGAATTTTCTGTGACTGCTAGAGTTCTCCACTGATATCAGGCCTCTTCCTGCAGTTCATAGCCAAACAGGTTAGGATAATAAACAGCCCCTCAGGTGTTATTGTGTGGTTGTGTCAGTCTGGTTGTTTGTGGTGGATGTTTTTGGCACAAGGGTAGAGGGTGGCAACCTGTCCACGGGGGTTAACCTCCACTCATACAGATCCTGATGGAGTTGTTCTCATCTTCGCCACAACCCTAAGGAGGATATATCAAGCCTAGAAAACAGTCACCCAGAAACAGACATTAGGTGAATCAACTTAAATGATAAATAACAGAAGAGCTATTCCATTAAAGGAGTTTGAGTATCAGTAATAACTGCATTTTTCATGTTAAAACGTTTAGCTGAATTAGATAGATAAATAAAGATGGGATTTTATCTACCCTATTAAACTACAAGAAAAAAAAGCTGAGAGAGAAATTCCCGCTTTTTTATCCATTCATAATATTATATCACCTCCCAAATATTCCTAGCGTCAGATTTTGGATTTCTACAATTATTTAGAACCTTGCTTTAAAGATAATAATGAAAGCAAAGGCACTAAAAAAGAAAAAAATGTTTTTTCTGTTAATTTAAGCACAATTTCCCAGGGCAGCTGCTTAGTGACTCTACTTATTGAGAAACCCCTGTAGGGAATTTGAATAAGAAAGGGTTTGTTTTATTATTTCTGTGTTATTTTGTCATATTAAGTCAGCTTTGACGTTGTGCCTGTATGAGGGATCAGTCTGGCTCCCACTGTAGAGCAAAGAGACAGGCTGTAAAATGTGGCAGAGGATTTATAATTCATTATGGCTGATTGCATGACCTCTGTGTGTCATTTAATCCAGTTTTAGCGACTAACCCTAAACATCAGCTCATAATAATGTCTCATTTATGTCTTTTAAGTTTCTTTACAATATTATCCCTAAAATGTTGCTCTGAATTAATTAATTAATGGAGAAAACAAATATAAATTTAATATAATAATATATATGAATATCTTTGAATTGTGAGAGGACGCTTAAAAATGTTTCATTTTATTGAAGCCAAAAAAGGAAAAAATTAAGCAGCAAAAGTTTTTTCACATTTGTTCCATTAAATATTTTTAAAGGAGAGCATTTTCTGATTGATTTCTAATTTCCCTACTAATTTAAATATGGTGCAAATGAATGACCAGTCTATAACCTAACCCAGTCTATATCTATATTTGGGCTTTGAAACCAGGTGGTAGTTCAAATTTGGCATGAGCAGCAAGTAAGTAGAAGACACAGCTAAAGCCATAATAAAGAACAATTAATGTGAAATTTAGAAAGTTTTGCAGACTTAGTCAGAGATAAATTTGAACAAGGTAAAACACAGAGTGAAGATCAACTAGGGGTTTGTGGTTTAAACTGTTAAGAATTATCTGTATGATCCACCAGTTGTGATGTAAAAGGAATGTCAAAAATGCTTTTGAAGGTAGAATCTTCTACCAGACAGTGACAATTTGTTGCAAACTATTATACATAATCAATAATTAGTTATTCAGTGTTATATTTTTTTAATCTGTGCCTGTTTACAGACTAGAGGACAGCAGTGTAATCTGGAGGAGTAAAATAATCCAGTCTATTCAAAGAAACCCTTTTGTGTCAATCCCAAACCAATGAAATTACCTCCTGGTAACCATGGAGCCCAAAACTAAATCTGAGGAAAAAAAAAAAAAAGTAGTGGGACTATCAAAATAATCGACAGGTTATTTGACTGGGCAATTTTTTTATATTTTTTTTATAATCTAAATGATTCCTTTGCAGGCGTGGTTGCAAGTTAAGGGTTGTCAATATGTTTTTTATGCTGGTGAAAGTTCTCAAAAAATTAAAAACAATCCACTGGACTTTGTTTCCAAGTTTGAAGACGTTTTGCTTCTCATCCAGGAAGCTTTTTCAATTCAAAATGTCAGGAATAGTGTTGATTTCTACGTTTTTTTTTTTCTTTATCCAAAATGTGAACATTCCGGTCCTCAATAGAATGTCCTTTGTTCATAAGGTGTTGATGTACCGCAGAGTCTTGTCCAGGTAGCTCTTCTGTGTTTGACCATGTGTCTGTGGAGAGGTGGTTATAGGTCTGTATTTGAGAAAATAGGTCGTTTGATAGTGGCGTGAAGGTAGCGATTTATGTTAAGAAAGAAAAACCAACCCTAAACGAGGGGGTGGACTCAGGTTCCAGCTTTCAAAAACCTAGAATGCAGCAATTGAGTAAATCCCCTCCCATTATCATCGCAGCCCCACCCCCTGTACAGGAGAGCGGAGGACCCCGTCAATTCAGCCAGTCAAATGATCCCCTTTAATGACCGACTTTTCAGACACTTAGATGGGTATGGAGTATTGCAGTCTAACAAAAGAAGCCAAACGACCCCCATTCCGAACGGGTGGACCCCTTCGTCTGTTCCAATTTGCATGTTTTCAAAACAAAAACAAGGCCTTTTCGGGGTACTGTAAAAAAAAAAAACTCTAATTCAATGCTATAACTGACATTTGAATTGAAAAAGCTTCCTGGATGGGAAGCGAAATGTCTTCAAACTTGGAAACAATATCCAGTGGATTGTTTTTAATTTTAGCTGGTTTTAGAAGAAAAAAAAAGAAATCTTAGCATGATGCTGCCACCACCATGTGTTATCATGGGAATAGCTATTTTATGGCGATATACTGATTAAGAATCTCTTCCAAACATTGCTGGTAGGGCATTAGTAATTATTTTTCTTATCAGTCTAGAACACCTTTTTACAATTACTTTAATCTTGAAAATCTTGGGTGAGTGTAAAGGGAATTCTCCTTCTACCATCAAATTAGTCCACTTGAATTAAAAAATATTAGCAGAAGTTTACCCAGCTCGTCAACATTAATCTATCCACAACTTTATCCTTGGTCTGTTTGTTTTGGGTTTTTTTGGACAACAAATGCTCTTTAAAATAGTTGGTTACAGTTCGAGCTGGACCTCTGATGGCAATAAGAAAACAAGCTTTAAGAGTACCGGAGAATAGAGGGCTGCTATGCCAAACTTTTTATCTGACAAAGCATCCTTTCTCCCTTTCTCTCTTCTACTTTACAATTTCTTAGTTTTTTCTCATCTTAAAAATACATAATCAGGTTTACGTACGTCTGTAGTTTTAGTGAAAAACAGTTTGAAAAGGTTTGAGTACTATGGACAATTTAAATGTGTACTGTGAACTATAATTATTTACAAAATCTTGAGCAAAATAATGTTTTTGAAAACTAAACCAAACCATCAAAACAAACCTGATTATTATCACCATTTCACGGAAGCTATCCTGTTAAGTTTGTGCAATTTTCTTTTTCAACAAAGAGAGCAAATCTCCTTACAAGTAAATATTAGAAATATGCAATCAGTACTTTTTATGATTAGTATGCTTCCTTCTTGCTTGTATAATTTTGTTGAGCACAAGTTAAAGGACCAAAGAATACATTTTCTCTTTTATTTGACTGAAACAGGACAGCGACTAAGAACAGTGAGGGTTTTGAAAATACTAAGATAAACATATAATATCTGTTTTATATCTCTTGTGCTGTCTCTTTTTTATTGGACTTGCATTAATTAATTAAATTTTTTTTTAGCCCCGTATAAATCTGGATAATAGCACATTTTCTGTATGTGTGGCAGTGTGTATGTTTTCTAAAATTTCTTGTTTGAGGATAATTTTTGCAACATATAATACATTGTAAGTACCCTTTATAAAGTACTCTATGGTTAGATTTAGAGTTAAGTTCTGGCTATAGAAACAAATATAAAGAAGCTAATGTCAAGTCTGTGTAACTATCGAAAAAAAGGTAATATGTGTGTGTGTGGCCTAGAAGTGAAGTCTGCTCTGGTGATGCTAATTATGGCATGTAGGATCCTGTTTACGAATAGGCACGCTGATTACCTCCTGAGGTTTTGCACCCGTTGAGAGAGACAACTGTGCTCTGCAGCATCTTAGTATCTAGTTCTGTTTAATGGCTCCATCATGCAGTCAATCACAGCGTCTTTGCGTTGCTCAGTAAATGCATCGTAAAACATCAGAATGTTTTGTTTTCCAAGCCTGTTTTGTGCAAGAAGGTGGTGAAACAGATAGAAGTGAAATACAGATTTCTATGTCTTGTTTTGTCTGAAATAGCACGAAACTACATGCTTGAGACGACTCAGGTGCTTTAAATTCTGTGAATTTGAAGACATAAAAAAATATATAAATTTTTTATTTTTTTTACTTTATTTTCCATAAGCTGTTAGGATGTGCATGAGTTTGCGGTTCTGAATAAGGGATAGATTTTCTGTCTGCTGTTGGGGCAAGTGCACTCCAGCAGAGAAACCTTCGACTGCAGAGAAGCTTTCCAACAGGGCACTGTTGGGCCACAAACTGTCACAAAAGTGACTCTGCTGTGGGAGGCAAAGGCACGTACACATGTCTAATTTTCCTTTCACACATTCAGACCCATACTTAATTAATTGTAGCTCCCAGCCATTTGACAGTCACACTGTGTGAGTGTATGTGCAGCTGGCCCAGTCACACTCCATTCACCGCCCATCTGTCCATGTCAAGCCGGACTACCCCCCCTTGTCTTTCTGTCTTTTTATGCCTCTCTATGGGCAAATCAGCACCCCACAACCACTGTGCAAACACCTAACTGTTGGCGTAGACTGTAATCAAGGTGATTTATGATTAATTAGCTGGTGAGAACATGTGTATGGATATGTATGCTGAACGGATGGTGGAAACAAAGCCATGATGCGAATGTTTGAAGTCACCTTGCAAACTATAGACAAAACCGACACACCATAATTGGGATTTTAGCTTAAATCGGGATGAGAAGTAATAAACACTGCAGTGTTGTATTAATTACACAAAAACTTTAAACAAAAAGTTTAACAATTGTATTATTAATGCTGCTGTAATGTAATCGGTTTTCTATCTTATCAATAATCTTTTTGTTGTTTGAAGTTGATGTATTTAGCAAATTTTCCAGCTGTAATTTGTGTGTATTTTTTTTAAATCATAGGGAAGTCATATTTAAATTTCAAATCATTCTGGCTTAAACATGTATATAAATGTATTGTTTATCACACCATATTGTCCCAAAAGTTAGAAAACTTATATTTAAAAAAAAATCCTGCCTTAAAATCTGTGGGGGTTTTCTTTCTTCGTTATTTCATGCAGGCCAGTTAGTTAGACGTCAGCTTGTACACCTAAATTCGGTCAATCATATATCAACGGTCATCTGTCAATCAAATTTTTTCGGTCATACCATCTTGATTTATATGTCGCAGCTAATATACGCAACGATTGAAATAAGAAATAGGGAACATTTACTTTACCATTGAGTTACGTCCCAGTGTTCACTGGGATGGACGTCTGTGTCTTCTGCAGGCGTAGAGCTAACAGAACTGGCAGCGTTGCGAGGCAAGGGCTCAAACATGTACGGCTGTAAGCCTTCTACACCAAATGAAGCTTCTGCCGCCCTGGTGTCCTGTTCCAGAACAAATTTGTCCCCACTTTCCTCCTCTAAATAAAAAAATGTATGACGGAGGAGACTCATCCATAACGTCCGACACAGAACTCTTCTCTTGCATGTTTCCACTGTCCATAGTGTTCCTCAACAGTGTCAGTGCTACTTGGTCCCAAATTCCCATTGGGAACCTAGTAGCACTAAGTTGGACTTTTTGTGACCATAATCCCTGCAGACAAAAACTTACACATAGAATATTTGGTATCAACATATAAAAAACAAAACAAAAAACATTTTATTCATTGTGTGTCATATTTCGTCTCCCTGATTTCATTAACAAAAAAAAATTTATTCTAAGATTAAATTAATTGAATGCTTGTGTACAGATCGTTCAGAAAATGTTGTGTTTCAATAACATATCCTATTGTTATATAAATCAAAATAGAAACAGACCAGATGTTTCCATTTAGATCCCATTTTATCCATTCTACCATCTAGTGAATACAAATCTAACTTTATATTAAAAGGTAATTTTAACACAAAGAGGGAGATTAAGAAAAGGTGCTCATGAATATTTTTTGTTAATGGAGATGCATTAGAGTCCAATATGTGTAACGTTTAAACTTTAAAGATGTGATGAATGTCAGGCAGGAACCAGCATTGTTAAACTAACAGTCTGGTCACCTAAGCACCTCCTCTGACCTATGAAAAGTGCCTTATAATGTTGGATCCAAATATCTGTGAAGATTATCATTTACCCAGGTCATAGTTAACTTGAAAAAAGATCAGTTTAGGAAAATGGAGTTGAAGTTTCGCCTCTCATCCAATAAGCTTCTTCAGTCCTAACTAGTGTTGGGGAGCACTGAGATAAATATATTGTAATATATTGTACAAAGAATTAGGGGGACAAAAGGTGGCTCTGATCCCTCCTACTGGATTCGCCATTACATGTCACTAGTTAGAACTGAGGAAACATCTTGGATTATAGGTGGAACGAATTCTAGAAAACTTCCCGTCCAGTTGCTTAAACTGAACATTTTCAAGTTGGAAAGAAATGTTTTGAAACTAACTTTTGAAATCCTCAGTATACTTTAATACCAGCAACTCATCTGTGCAAAACTGACACCTAAAGGACAATGAAATGAATCCTTTTCTCTGCAGATAAACCCAGCTCCATGCATAGTGAATGCAGCTTAGTTAATCGGAGCATTCCTCCTGTTGTTTGCTTTGTCCATTTTGTTTATTAGCTTTGTTGCTCTTGACTCGGTCAGCGCAAAGTTAATTGGTTGTTCTTTGATGCAGACATGAGAATGAGTGGAGAGTTGAAGTCAAGCCGCTCCAGGGCAACCAGCAAGAGGGCCAGCAACACCACTTATGGGTGAGTATCAGCCCCCCCATCCACACTCAGAGGGATACTGACACTCTAATTCCCTCACACTTTCAGAGATAATCAGGTGTTCGTTTATTTTCTGCAGCCCTCTACCCGAAACTCTGCTGCATCTCAGCTTTCCAATAAATGCAGTGTTATTCAGCATTAGCTTCATACCTGCTGTGTCTTTAAGCACCTATTGATTTCAACCAGAGGTTTGGTCTCCATCAGTCTGTGTTTTAATTTATCTGTTGTGTAGTGCACCACGTGTGATTGGAGCTGATTACTGTTTATTGCTGGCAGGTCAATGCCACACTATGGGGCTACAGGGGATCTTTAGAAAGAGAATGGAGGGTGCTGACTTTGAGTTGGCTTGTTAAAAGTTATTTATTTCTTCCATGGTTGACTTTCTGGAAGTAAAGCTGATTTTGTTTACATACTGGTGGTTAATTTATTATATGTCTTGATGTGCATGGAGTTTGTGTCAAGCCAGATTAGATTCTAATTTATTTTATTTCTGCTCTCATTTCTGCATTCTCTGTCCTGCCATAGAAGTCTATATGTTGATATTTCTTCCCCAAACTTTTGATCTCTAAAAACCTCCTAATTAAGCCACACTTACTGATGTTTTGAAAGATTAATTTTGTTGCAACCCCCTTGTTGCAAACAATGCTTTCCAGTTTTTTACCAAAGAACTTTCTAATATGAGGATTTAGGTTTTTTTTTTTTTACCCGTTTCTTTTTTAACAAGAAAACTAAACAACTACAGAGCTCCATATAGTTTTTTTGTTTGTCTTTTGTTCATCTGGCAGGATTTGGACTTTCCCTGAAGTCATTGAACCTTGATTGCATGTTGAAAGGATTAATTACTTATAGGAAATCGCAAACAAAGTGAATGAAAAAACAAATAACTGCTGTTTAGAGAGAAACACAGATATTGTTGTTCCTTTAGCTGCTGTCACTCTGTTTCCTATCTCAACATGTTTTCTTTTGTTTTAGAGAAAGCTTGACACATGAAGGAAATTAAGTGTATATATTTTTCCTTGCAAATAGCTAAATCACAGTCAAAGTTAATGTAAAGAGTTTGTGAAGAGTTGTTTTTGATTTGTGGAAGTTCCCTGCAGCCTTTAATGATGTTTCTGGGCTTTGCTGGATTGATTTTTATCCGTCTCCCCATTAACTCCCACCAGCTGTCCTGTCCCTGCTGCAAAAAAAATCCTCTCCACAGAATGACACTGCCACCTACATGTGGCCGTCCACGCACAGTGGAAACGTGGAAACCTGTTCAGGCTAATGTGTCAGTTTTATGCCACACACACTGTAGCATATTAGATCAAGTTTTTCGACAGGACCAAAAAAATATCAACAAATCTTTTCACCTGTACTGTTTGTCTCGGCAGCTCCTCCAGACTTATCAAAGGCTACTGAGCTGCTGCTAGTAAATAGTTTCATAAATTTAAGGGCAAGCTTTGTAAACTTTGTAAGGAGTCAGTGGTAAATCTTGAACTATTGAACTATAGAAATGGCCTTTTAGTCAATGAGTCAATGCAATCAACTGGTTTTCCTTAGCCTCTCAAAATCCGTCGGGTCGCTGTCGGTCGGTCCGTCGAACGCATGAAACTTAAACCGGTATAAATGTTTACCAATATAGACATGTAAGACATCGTTGGAAAGCTTAGATTCTCCACAATTCAACCATCTAGTTCATTTCATGGACACAGCAAGCACCAAAGCACATTTAACACATATATAGCAGCATATCAAAATGTAAACAAAGCAGCCACAAAAACATACATTTAAAGGCATCCAGAAGCAGTTTTATAAATCCAGTCTTCCATTGTTTATACTCCATTCATTCATAAGTGTCCACAGATTAAAAATAATCCAGCGTATTCGTAATAAAAACTTTCCATGATAAGAAAATCGCCACATAACATCTGGTTGTTAGCTGGCCACAGCTTATGCTTAGCATCTTGTTTATAATTACTTACTAATACTTATTTCCTCAGTTGTTTGCCCACGAAGTTGGGTATGTTTCTTTACATCGTCTTTTTATCTAAAAGACAAAAGTGTCTGCATCTTTGCATGACTCGATTTGAGTCATACTAAGGCTAGACATGGATGGGTTGCATAAAGCTGAGCCGTGTTACCTGCTTGCATAAGAGCGAAATACACAGCTGAGAGTGGATCAATGCATGCAGCTCAAGGCTGAATAATGACAACGGTCCTTTTTTTTTTAAGTTTAGATGCTTATTTTGTTTTATTAAAATGCCTAAGGCTGAAAAAAAGTAAAACAAAAATACAGCTCAGAAAAGGCACTTGGGTTATTTTTGCTTTAAAAGCAGTAGTTTCACTATTTTTTATAGATTTTTATGTTATTGTAGGTTTATAAATGTTACATTTTGCTATATACATTTTGTATACATTTTGTTGGTAATCAAAATGCTTCAGTGTTATTCTATGGGTCAAATAGTTGAGTAAAAGCATTTTGCACAACTTGGCACAATTTGGCACATTTGGAGATTTTTGACACCGAAAAATAAAAGCCCCACAGCTCTGGAACTGTTGTAGCTAGAGGTCTGAAAATGTCTGCATTTGTTGTTGAGATGATTTATAACAAATGTAATACAACAAGACATGCCTATTCTCTAGCCTGTCTTTATTACTGTACTATTATTTTCATTAATAAAAAAAACAACTTTGAGTCATGTTTGAACTTATGCAGCTTGGGCTGTGTTCTACTCACCCAATTTTCATTTATATTTTCAGAATCTAGAGGGTGTTAGCTGTCAAATGATGTACCACAAATATAATTTGGGCTTACAGTTCCTCAATTATTTGCTTTTCCATTTGGGTATGCAAAATAGGCGAGGATGACTTCAAAATGAGGTGGATAGAAAACTTTGAATCAATTTGACTGTATAAAGTAAAGTGCCTTGAGATGACATGTGTTGTGAATTGGCACTATATAAATACTCAAGCAATGTCCAAATATACTGGTCGTTAAACCTTCATGCAAGAAAATGGCTTTCTGCATGGAGTTTGCATGTTCTCCCTGAGCATGCGTGCGTTCTCTCTGGGTACTCTGGCTTCCTCACACAGTCCAAAAACAAGACTGTTATTTGGCTTCTCTACATTGTCCTTAGGTATGAGTGTGTGTGTGTGAATGGTTATTTGTCCTGTTTGTCTCTATGTTGCCCTGCGATGGACTGGCGACCTGTCCAGGGTGTACCACGCCTGGAGATAGGCACCAGCACCCCTCGCGACTCCACTTGGGTTTAAGTGTGTAAAGAAAATGGATGGATGGACGTTCAAAAATAAGGGGCAGTGATGTTTAAAGGCTACAATCATTTTTTTTTTTATGATGTGATGAAAACATCAATTATAATTTAAATTAACATTAAAGTTATCATTATTACTGTTACTGATAATGTTTTTGTTGTTTTATTGTTGCAACTACTACTGTCATAATCAAGATTATGATTACTGAAAGGAAGGATAGCTTCTTCACATTGCTGATTTTGTAATTAGAATTGCTATTATTCCTGTCATTTTGCTGTTTTTCTTGTGATATACAAGTACATAAGAATATTTACTCATATCTATATAGGAAGTATTTAAAGTTATGTCGCAAGAGGTGTATTGAAATAAGTATTTGCTTCTTTTCACTTTCTTTTGAAATAGACTTTTAATTTAATGTTACATAATTTTTTCTCACATCGTTTTTTTATTGTTTCCCCCTATTTTTTCTTAGGGGAGTGGTGGCATAGTGGTTAGGGCATAGAGCTTGGAATCCTGAGGCTCTTAGTTCAAGCCCCACTCCCACAGACTGAGACTATCTGATCAAAACCCTTAACCCCACACTGCTCCCTGGGCGCTGCATAATGGCAGCCCGCTGCTCCCCAAGGGGATGGATTGAATGCAGAGGTAAATTGCTCAATGAGAGATCAATAATATTCATTCTTTCTTTTTCCTCTTTTATGCATATTTGTATGTCTCTCTACCAAACTGATGTTATATCAGTTATTTTCAAGTTCCCTGTCCACTACTTTTAAAACAAACAACACTAACAAAATTGGTTTGGAAGTTTGTTTGGAAGAAATAATGCATAAAGTCATGGAAAAAAAATATTGGACCATGTTTTGCATCAAAAACAATAGTTATGCATTCAAGTAGTGACTCCTGTTTATGTAATGGGATTAAAGCAGACAGCGGAGACAAAAGGAATTGCCTTAAAGCCTTTTTATGGTATCACAATGCCATGGCTACTTATATAAGATTGTATGTGATTTTGGTTATTGTCAATAGAACATGGAAAACAGCTTAAATTAAACCTAAATAATCCAATGTTGTTGTTACCATCATGATTGTCCAAAACAATTTTACTTTAGGTGTAGCAAGCATTAAAATGTACGTCAAAATGGAGACAAATAGGGTTGTCTAGTAATGAAATGAAATTGTCTTTCATCTCAAGTCAGTTATAATCCAGTTCCTCCTCTGGTTTATCTACCAGACATGATACTAATGCTTGATACTGCGTCTTACTGCTGTGTCAAAAATCATATATGATATATTTTGTCCTTAACCTGCCCCTGTCTTTGTCCGGAATGTCTTTAATCAAGCTGTTCCCCTTTTCTGTTTCTCTGACCTTAACCTGAAACATTATTTGCACTGAGCATCCTGTGGGTCTTTTAGCAGAGTGCATCTGCATCAGTGCATTAATGAGGTTAGTCATACAAAACGACACACATGCATGCTCTGAAAGAAAACCACCTGAGGTATATATGGCTTCATATTGCCTATGCATTGTTTTATGGGGATGATAAAAACAGCTTGTTAAGTTCCTTAACAAATCAAAAAAAGGTCTTCAAGCAGCACCAGTAGGTCTGTAAGGCCTCTCCTATTCACACTTTCAGACTTTGAGGGTGTTGCTCAAATTTATGGAGCGGTGCTTGCATACAGCTGTTACAGCTGCTATATTAATCTAAGTATCATATGCTTATTATTAC